CTTCATCTCTGTTTGATTCTTCTTTATATTTTCTAATTTTTTGTTAAAAACGTCTAACTTTCCACTGTGTTCATCCAATCTTCTCCCGAGTTCTTTGAGCATCTTTATGGTCACCTCTGTGAACTATTTATTGGGTAGGTTGCCTATGTCCACTTCACTTAGTTGTTCTTCTGAGGTTTTATCTTGTTCCTTCATTTGGAATATATTCCTCTATAGCTTCATTTTACCTAATTTCTTCTTTTATTTCTGTGTATTTGGTACGTTGGTTATGTTTCCTGACCTTGGAGAAGTAGTCTTTTGTAGAAGATGTCCTATTTGTCCCAGCAGTGCACTCCCTTCTCGTCACCAGAGCTATATGCTCTAGGGCTGCAGTCCCCAACTTTTTGGCACCAGAGACCAGTTTCATGGAAGACAATTATTCCACAGACTGAGGTGGGGGGAATGGTTTTGGGATGATTCAAGCGCATTACATTTATTATGCTCTTTATTTCTATTATTATTACAATGTGATATATAATGAAATAATTATACAACTCACCGTAATGCAGAATCAGTGGGAGCCCTGAGCGGTTTTCCTGCAACTAGATGGTCCCATCTGGGGATGATGGGAGACAGTGACAGCTGAAGTGTGTTGCTCATGTCCAGTCTACTCTGTAATCTTGTTTTGGTTGCTGACACTGCAGAAAACCCTGCTTCACAAAGATAGGATGTTGGAAATGGAAGCAGGCTTTTCAGCGCTTTTGTGGCAATTTAAGGATATTCCACCTTGACTTTAATCCAGACTGCATGGAGATTTGAAGTTGTCTCAAACATACTTTTAAGGCCACTGTCATTTGCAGTCTCAAGCAGTTGATCCTCTTCTAGCATGAACAAAATCGATTCACCTGGCTTACTCACAAATGAGTTGTAGATCCATTCCTTCCGAGTTTGGGGGTCTTTTGTGGTTGGGGAGTAATGCTCAAACTCTCTAGAAAGCTGAGATAGGTGATCATGCACCAGCTGGGAGAAAGAAGGCCCTGGATCTGTCTCTCAAAATCTCTGCTAATGTTTGAAACATATCAAATATACCAGTGTTCACTCGTCACCCCCCTAATTCCAGTTTGGCTTTGAATGAAGTCACTTTATCTGCTGACTTGAACGCAGTTGTAGCTCTCCCCTGAAGTGACAGATCGAGTTTGTTGAGCAGGTTGGATACATCACACAAGTAAGCAAGTTTGAGACCCATTTTGTGTCACTGAAATGTGCTGCCAATGGTGACTGTTTTTCTAAAAGAAATCTCTGAAGCGGCTCTCATAACTCAAAAACTCTCGCCAGTGATCTACTTTTAGAAAGCCATCTCACTTCTGTGTATAAGAGAAGATGTGTGTACTCTGTGTCCATCTCCTCACAGAGCTACATGAACAAATGTGAGTTAAGGGCATGTACTTTAATGTGGCTGATAATTTTAATCACATCTGCAAAACGTTTTTACGTTCAGGTGACATTTTTCGGCTAACCAGCATTTCTCTATGGATGACACAGTGCGTAGACTCACATTCAGAAGCGACCCAGTTGACCTGAGTAGTGAAACCAGAAAGCTGTCCAGTCATGGCAGCCACTCTGCCTGTGCATATACCGACACAAAATGACCAGTTAGTTTTCCTGATATGTAATCATTCAAAGACTTGAATAGTTCTGCAGCTGTGGTGTTGGTTGGCAACAAAAGTGCACATAACATATCCTCATGCACATCCTCCTGAAAAATATATCACACAAAAACAAGTATTGTTGCTTTGTTGTCAACATCGGTAGATTCATCAACCTGGAATGTGTACCACGGTGACTCACTTGTCCTCTCCAACAATTGTGCCTCAGTATCCTCTGCTATTTCATCAATTCATCTAGTTATGGTGCTAGCCGAAAGAGGAACACATGCCACCTTTGAACTGCAGCCTCTCCTAAAATTTCACAACAAATGTCCTTAGCAGCAGGCAGGATCAACTGTTCACCAATAGTAAAGGGCTTCTTAGCTTTAGCAATGCAATTAGCCATTAAGAATGATGCTCTCAGTGCAGACACATGTGATGAAGTAGTGGGCCTTCGATAATTGCTTCTGTTCTTTGTGTTCACGTTTTTTTGTTTTGAAAACATCCAAAGGCTTGTCTTTTCATGCAGGGTGCTTTGTCTCCATGTGGTGAAACAGTTTTGAAGGTTTCATGGCTTCGTTGGATAGCTGGTCACCGCATATTATGCAAAGTGGGCTTGGAGAATGTGAATCACCTGTTGCAATGAACCCGTAATTTAAGTAGGACTCTTGGTATTTTCTTTTAAATGCAGCTTTCATTTTGTTGGCAGTCTTAAGAGTCTTCTGCTGTCTCATCATTGGGTCTTTCCCCATTTTCAAAGAAGCTCTCCAGTGACTTTTGTTTTTTACTCATTTTGGCTAGGGTTAGCTTGTGGGCTTGCCAAAACTGTGACTGAGACAAGTGCGCAATGCGGGAAAGAGGCATGGACAGAAGTAGTAAATAAAATAATGGGCCAGCCATGTGCAGACTAAAATAAGTGTCAGATTCTGGCTTAAGCTCTGCCACCAGATGCAGCTGTACAATTGAAGTACATCAACTCACTTGCCACTATAAAGCCTACCACCAGATGCAGCTTGTCACTTGCCACTCACTGATAGGGTTTTGATGAGTCTGCAAGCAATTGATTTATTATGGTCTCTGTGCAGTCAAACCTCTCTGCTAATGATAATCTATATTTGCAGCTACTCCCCAGTGCTAGCAACACTGCCTCAGCTCCACCTCAGATCATCAGGCATTAGATTCTCATAAGGAGCGTGCAACCTAGATCCCTCACATGTGCAGTCACAGCAGGGTTCGCGCTCCTATGAGACTCTAATGCGGTCGCTGATCTGACAGGAGGTGGAGCTCAGGCAGTAATGCGAGCAATGGGGAGCAGTTATAAATACAGATGAAGCTTTGCTTGCTTGCCCGCTGCTCATCTCCTGCTGTGAAGCCCTGTTCCTAATAGGCCATGGACTGGTACCGGTCTGTAGCCCAGCGTTCGGGGGCCCCTGCTCTAGGGGTTCACCCTATGAGAGCTATGCAAGTCTTTTTTTGTGGTCGGCTGACTATCGTGTATAGTCTGGTAGGTGTGGCTGACCCCAGTTGGTTGCCAGGCCCTGCCTTGTGCTAAGGAAAATGGTTGGTGAGTCTGGGTCACAAGGTGACCGGCTGTGCAACCTTGGGGGTCCCAGGGACAGTGCTGGCCCATTGGTGGGCAGGCCAGCAGGCTACAGGTTCTGGAGTGTCCCAAAACTGGTGCTGGCCACTAGTGAGTGGGGTTTGGTTATGGGGCAGCTGGCTGAGGGGTCCAGTGTGTTTCAGAACTGGTGTTGGCCTGTTGGTGGTTGGGTCTGGGGCCCAGTGGCCCCAGGGCTGGAGTCAGCCTGCTAAAGGACAGGACCAGGGACCAGGGCTTACTGGGACTAGTGCTGGCTCACTGGTGAGTCGGCCACTGGCTACAGGACCCTGGAGGTCCTGAAGCTGGTATAAGCCTGTTGTTCACTGGGGCCAAAGCCTAGGGCCACTGGCTAAGGGGTCCAAGTTGTCCCAGAATTGGTTTTGACCTACTGGCAGGCAGGTCAATGGCCCAGGAGATTCTTGGGCTGTTTCAGGCCTGCTGGTGGATTGGCTGGTTTCTGACAAGGCAGGCTGCATCACTGTGGTGGTCCTGGGCCGGTGTGAGCTCATCACTCTATAGGCCTGATCTAACTGAGGATGCTCCTGGTCTCTCAAGAAGGAATAATTCACAACCCTGGGGATTTGAACATTCCAATTACAGAAAAGGTACACAAACACATGTTTCCTAACTAAAAGAATTTATGACTTGAAACAGAAAACTGGAATGCATACCATACATTGAGTGCCATCAAGGAGGTGCACAGGGTGCCAAAGAGGCCCAGAAGAGTGACACTCACTCCCAAATCGGGCCCCTGGTAGCTTTCAGAAGACAAAGCCTCAGTTGAGTCTTGAATGCTCTAAGGAGGTATTCAGAGGAAGAGAGAGGGGAATGGCTTTCTAGGCCTTGGGAAGGGAATTAACAAAGTCATGAAATATGAAAAGGTAAGGTGTGGTGTATATTTCTAGAGCAAGAGACATAAAAATTACAGAGGTAAAGAAAGGCAGATTATTCAAGGCATTTTAAGCCAGGCTATGGAGCAAGAACTTTTTCAAAGAGAAAATGGGAAACTGTTGAAGGATGTCAAGTGAGATAGAACTGTGGCTTTATAGAGAGATATCTGGCTCTATGAAAAGAACTGATTAGAGAAATTAAGCCTGGAAGGAGAAAAATCAAGCAGCCATCGAAATAATTCCAGCCAATAAATGCTGTGATCCTGTCTAAGAGAGAAGGGAGAAGTCCAACAAAGGGACACTGATATGGGGACATAGGACACAGAGAACATGGTCCACGCCCCAGGGAGAGATGATGCTAATAAGAACTGACTAGGGAAGTGCCAAGTGGATGGACTAGGGTTGGTACCCAGCGTGGACCTGTAGTGCTGTGGCAGAAGGATATTTGTATAAGGTGAGAGGTTGCAGCCCATTTTGTTCATAGGCCACTTCAGACATGGCGGAAAGAGTCATGAACCAACAAGGCAGACATTCAAGAAGTAGGCTGCAGCTCCAGTAAAGGATGGGAGGAGGAATCAGGGACTTTGACACTGCATAGTCCATACTTGACACACTGCAACCATTGCTTATTTCTGGACCTCCTTCCACCACACCCACCCTTAAACCAACTCAAGATCATCATTAAAATGGGAGAATTTCTTAGAAGTTTCTCATACAGCAGTTTTCAACCCATTTTCTGCAGTAACACATCTGGTAATAGTCTCTTTTTGTCACACACACCCATGGATAATACTTTGACATATGCCGTTAACTCACATAGACATAACCAGTCTTTTAAATTGCCTGTATAAAGCTGTAACACTGTATGTTATTTTTCTCTTGCAGGCACATCCCTAACTTGAGAGATGGGGAGTGAATTCAAAAGAATTGTTCTGCTGAAAGGATTTCAGCACATCAGTGATTATCAGTTTAGCATGATTAAGTGTTTACTGGCCAAGGATTTAAGACTGACTAGGAAAATGCAAGAAGAATATGACAGAATTAAGATTGCTGACTTGATGGAAGTAAAGTTCCGTGGGTCTGACTGTGTTGACAGATTAATAGACTTGATCAAAGATATAGAAGAAATTAAAGACCTTGCTAAAACTCTTCAAAAGGAGAAGTTAAAAGGTACTTGGAAGAACCTCTTTCACACTCTTTCTGTACTGACCTCAACCTTAAATAGAACCCTGATTTGGTCAAAGTTTAGACCTCTCTTTCCCAACTTAGGACTCGTAGCCATGACAATGGTAGTACTTTAGATGCCAACAAATTGACAACTTAGAGGATGCCTTTCCTACAAAGAGATCTGATATGTTTTAGAGGGTGTATTTTGGGGGTGTGGGCAAAGAAAATATTAGAAGGAGCTGATGAGAAAGGCTGAGGCTTCCATACATTAGAAAGGTTAGACAATGATGAAACAAAATTAGAATATGTAGGTTCTTGAAATATTTAAATCAGTTAATATGCATGCTCTATTATCATATTTACTCCATCATTTTTATACTTTCTAGAAAAACTCTGAGGCAGTACTTAAATAAAAACCTACCTCTGAGAGATGTGAAGAACTTGCCTCTTATAAAACCACTGGATTAGGAAAACATATTTTAAAAAGTCAAAGTCTAGTATCACCACTTTGTCCCATCACAAATTAGACTATATTCATTTCCTCTGGTTTCAGTAATTCAAATAGATCTTCTGTAGAAATTGACCCACCACTAGCATCATGAAAACTTTAGATTCTTGAAAGGAAAATATAGAATAAGTGGATTGTAAAAGGGTTCGACTGAGCTAGATAGGAGTCCAGAGGACAGGAAGAATATGCTTGTGGTACAGGGGACAGGAAAGGAAACCACTGAGGAAGTCTGAGCCAGTACCTATACCTATGCTGCTACTGCTGGCCACCTATGGCCAAGCTAGGCTAATGCAGTAGAGGCAGATACAAGCTTACCCAGATCCACAAGCAGGAAGTGACAGGAAATAGTATTGAAGGTGCTTCAGGTATCTTAGACCATCTCCTCTGGATTTATCATGTTCTCTTTTACCACATCAGTTATTAGGAGAAGCAAAGCAAAAGAAGCAACTCCAGTGAAAAAAAGCAAGCTGAATAAACCCAGTCCTGACCAATCTACATCCACCACTAATAAAGCTTTGGGACCTGAATCAATCAAGGATACACCTGTGAAGGTAGGCTGGCTAAGGTCCCACAAAAGATTTTACTGTGGCTTTTCTACTTGTTACCTTCTTATGAACACTTAGTTCTGTATTCATTTCTCAACATGCAACTAAACGAATCAGAGAAAAAGGGATCCAGGGCCAGAGTGAAAATTAATTTTAGAGCCAGTGAATTAATAGGTACTGATCACCCATTATGTTTCTGAACTACTGTGCACTTTAAATTGTGTAATATAATTCCCTATGGTGGAAATATGAAATCATTACCCCTCTTTTAGATGTATATTAAAATAGCAAGCAGATTAGGAAAACAGCTTGCCAAAGCCTACTCAAAGAGACTAAATTCAAACTTAGATTTTCTAAATCCAAGTCCACTGCTCCTCTCATCAACACAGAAGTGAGTACAGGAATGACATGTATAAAATTTTCCTTACTATTTGTATGAAGCCAACATACATGTGCACTGCTTACCTTCTGGCCTGGAGTTCCCAAGGACATAAATTTTAGTATAATTAGAATCTAATAATAAAAATTTGATTTTCTCAGTAGTAAAGATGTGTTTCTTTTATTATTGAAAAGTATTAACCAGGGGGAAAAAACCCTACTTTCAGGGAAAGAAAACCACAAAAACTAATGAATCTAAGGGGATGAATCTAAAGAAGGAGAAGAGTCAGCTTCCAGGATTGTTAGTAACCAGTACACAGTCAACTGAGAGCCTTCCCCAGACTCCTCAGATGCTTCCACCAAACCCATCCAGCAGTTCCTCAACCAAGGTACCATTTTCCCGTTCCTAATATGTTCACCACCCCACATCATATTATAAGGATCCTCATGACCTTGAAAGAGTTTCTCAGTAATCCCTTTACTATATAAAATTTCCTTATGTAATAAAATCACCCATTAATTTATCAAATGCAGATACTGAGACCTCAATGTACTCTAAGTCCTGTGGCTTTTGGCAAGGTATGCATTTATGAAATAATTCCTGACCTCAAGAATGTGGCTGTCTTATGTTTGGTCCTGAAATAAGGAATGGTAGTGGCCAGACAGTTAGACATGACTATAAGGGTACGTTTCTCCCCTACATTTCAGTCTCCTTTCACCCCTTTCCCCTTAACCACGGGTCTAGACTAGTTCTCAGCATTATATGCTCTTTCCCGCGTCAGGTGTTTGCACATAGGCTCTTTCCTTGATTGGGAATTCATTATCCCTGTCTCTTCTCTGGCTCAAATGCATTCAACCTTCAGGTACCAACCTGAATTCCTTCCCCAGGCAAGTCCTCACTGAAACAACCCCTTTCAAGAAAGGATCAGATACTCTCATTATTTGGACACTTTACTATTCCTTTATAGTACTTATCACAACTGTGATAACTCTACATTTTTCTTTCCTTCTAGACAAGGAGCTCAGATTATAGGTAACCTGTCCCAGAGGAAGACAAGACAGGGGTGGGAAAGTGATTTCACACCTGTAGATATTGACTCCTATTCCAACCTGCTTTTTGTTTTGCCCTGTGGTGATATGCAACCCGGGACTATGGAGCCTGTATTTGAGATGAATGGGCACTAAAAGATGGCCCCAAGACAACATGAAGGGTAGGCAAGAGCAGGATTTAAACCACTATTCTCTAACATCGTTTCTCACCTAAGACCCAAGCTGCCCTCTGACTCAGGCTGCATACCCACCCACCCACCCCCCTGCCACACACACACATGCCCCTTGAAGACAGACCTCCCATATAAAGGGACTCTCTATTTGGGGTGTAGTTTCCTTGTTGTCATTTTTATTAGTTCCAAGAGTCCATATTTCGTCCAGTAATCTTTCCCAAAATATCAGTAGGTTTCTAGGAGCCTGAAGAGCAGATATCAGAAACCCACTTGTGTATTTTCTTGATCAGAAAGTCATAGTTAATAAACATCCTTAAATGCAGCCAATTCTGGACTGAGATTTGCTTCCCTTATAACCAGGGAAGTTTACCTTCCTGCTTTGGCCAGTTTGCATCAGATGTAGGACCTGGATTCCATCCCAAACCAATGAAATTTCATCTGAGCTTTTAATATTTGGAGAGTGAAATTTGTAATCCTAGTTGAGATAGGAGAAGGATAGGTAATACAGGTATCTGTATATGTGCTATTATTTCAGAAAAAAATTGAAAACTTAAGACTCTACATTAAAAAAGAAAAAAGAGAAAAGAAATGATGTTGTGTTCTATGTGATTTTGAATATCATTATCAAGAACTAAGGAAAAAATCTTTTTTTCTCGAGAAAAAAAATGACAAAATTAATGACTTAAAAAGGAAGACCGTATCTCAGAAACAGAGTCAACTTCCAGGAACTTCAGCAACCAGCAAATGCCCAACTGGGAGCAGTTGTCCAGTGAAATCTATACCTCCACCAACACCATCCAGCAGTTTCTCAATCAAGGTACCTGCTCCCTGTTCCCATTCCTTGTACCTCCTACAACATAAGTACAAGAATTATCGTAATCTCATTTCCCACAATTTACCATTTATTTATTTAATATAATCACTCATTCATTTTTCCATGTATGTTTTGTGATCCCACTCTATTCTAACTCCTTGGCTATTTACAAAGCATGTATTTATGAAATAATCTCTAATTTTGAGAGGGTTACACTCTTGTGTTGAATAGAAAGAGGAGGGGAAGGTGACCAGACAAGTCAAGATGAATGTCTGTTCACCCTTACATTCCACTTTCCTTGGCCCTACTCCCCTTTGTTCACCCACCACATGATAGGGTTTATTTTCAAAGTTCTGTGCTCCTTCCCATGTCAGATGTTTTGACATGGACTGCTTTCTTTGTTTGGAATCACTTGTCCTGATTCACCACTGGTTCAGGTGTCTTCACCTTTCAGGTGCAAACCTGAATTTCTTCCTCATACAAGTCCTCACTGATACCCCCCTCCCAGAATACATTAGGTATTCCTCTTTTTTTCTTTTTTTTAATAAATTTATTTATTTATCTACATTTTATTTTTGGCTGCGTTGGGTCTTTGTTGTGGTGAGTGGGGGCTACTCTTCATTGTGGTGTGTGGGCTTCTCATTGTGGTGGCTTCTCTTGTTGCAGAGCATGGGCTCTAGGCATGCAGACTTCAGTAGTTGTGACTCGCGGGCTCAGTAGTTGTGGTTCGCTGGCTCTAGAGCGCAGGCTCAGTAGTTGTGGTGCATGGACTTAGTTGCTCCGTGGCATGTGAGATCTTCCCGGACCAGGGCTCGAACCTGTGTCCCCTGCATTGGCAGGCAGATTCTTAACGGCTGTGCCACCAGGGAAGTCCTAGGTATTCCTTTTGTTTGCTTTCAAAGATCCGTTTCCTTTTCCTTTTTAGCACTTATCGCAACTGTAATAAACGTACATTTTTCTTTGTTACTGTACTATAACATCAGTTATAAGGTGCCTGTCAACTGAAGAAAAATGTACAACCTAAAAGTTGAGTTATGTTTTATTCAGCAGACAATATGAGGACTTAAGTGGGGGACACAGAATCTCAGATAGCTCTGAGATACTGCTCTGAAGAAGCAAGGGGGGAACCAGGATGCATAGGAGGTTTTGCAACAAAGACCAGGTAGTTGGAACATCAAAAGATTACTGTTAATAAAGACAGCCAAATATCTCAAGTTAAGGAATTTGGCACTTTTCTATGTATAGGAAGATGCAAGAGTCTGAACTCACTGAAATCATTCCTTTGCTATGAACCTCAGCTATCTGGGGCCAGTCTCCTGTGCTTTCTCATGCTGAGTTTCCTCAAGGTGCACCGTCAGGGTTGGCTGCAGCAGTTGACTGCTAGATGGCGGGCATCCTGTTTCTATCTTGAGTTCCCTCAGGGCTTACCGTCGGGGCAGCTGTAATGTGATGGCTTGATGGCTGCAGCATCCAGCCATAGTTTTCATTCACAGTGCTCTTTCCCAGCAAAGACCAGATGAGAATGGAAAAGTGAGTACACACACGTGTGTATCAGCTCCTATCCTAGCCTGCCTTTGTTCTGCCCTGATTTGACCCCTGTGCTTATCATCACACTGGGATACAATGCCTGTTTCTGCAGTAAATAAGCAAGTGACTGAGGACTAGGCAAAAGGAGTATTTAAATCACTATTCTCTAAAATAGTTTGTCACCCAAGTTCCAAGCTGCTGAGGCTGAAGCCCCCTATGCAAATCCATGTATACCAGTTGAAGACAGATTTCTTCTGACAAGATTTTTCAAGTTTTGTTATTGTTTTTATTACTGTTACCTCCAATAATTAATAATTCCTCACATAGTCTCTCTTTGTTTTATTTATGGGATGGAGCTAGTAATCTGTGCCTGTTTGCCTCTAGGTCCAGCTGGCCTTGGTCTAGTCATTGAAACCCCAGGCTCACTGTCTCTCTGCTACGACAATGACTTATGTGGACATCTCTAGACAACCCTATTTTTCTTCTTTATTTTTTTAAACATCTTTATTGGAGTATAATTGCTTTACAATGTGTGTTAGTTTCTGCTGTGTAACAAAGTGAGTCAGCTATACGTATACATATATCCCCATATCCCCTCCCTCTTGCAAGACAACCCAATTTTTCTATGCATACAGGCTTAGAATTGACACTTTCTAAGGTCCTGTCTGCCTAAATTTGTGACATAGTCATTTCTACTTTCATAAGAATCATTCTGCTGCCCCTAAAACTCCTTGGAGCACAGGAATCCCAGGGAGGCTCATCTGTCCTTTTGGCCTCATACACCTAAACACACCATTCAGTCATTTCTTCTTTGGGGTCCAGCCACCTCTGTAGGAGACCTGGCACAAAGACGATCTGACCCATTCTGTCTTTGATTCATCAGTGGAAAGAGCAGGAAAGCCTTGCTCTTCTTCATCATGGGGTCTCCCAACTATTTTCTTTGTAATATAGGCTCTGTTTGGGATTCAAAGACAGAAGCAGACCAATATTTTCTTTTATTCCTGCTGCTATGTCTCCCCAGTAGCAAACAGCACACATTGACATGCTTCAAGAACAGGGTAGAGTGGTGAAGGAAATAAGCCAAGGGAAAAGATTCAATTACTATTTTTAAGTATTATCCAGCCATATAGTATGTTTTAGGGACCTAAATCCTACAGTTATGGTGGGAGTTTTTGGTTTAACTGAATGTAAAAAATGATCAAGATGCTCTTGTCAATGAGATTGAATTACTAAATGTAGCAGAAGTGAATAGAGAAGCTTCTTTAATAAAGTGCTTCCCATACCACCTCTATATTGGGTTTCCATCAAGAAAGCCAACATTAAGCATGAAACATCTGTGGATCAGAGCAAAAATAGAAAGCCCTGTGTCTACTGTAAAATAATAATGTAGTGCTATTTCTAGGTAATGAGCATTTAATGATGCTAGACTCTAAAACCTGTGTTCTTTGTGTACACTATCTCATTTGTTCTTTATAACGTCACACGAGGAGGCTATTGTTAATCCCATTTTACATATGAGAAAACTGAAGTTCTTAGAGGTTAGAAATCTTCTCCAAGGTCATGCAGAAAATGAATGTTAGAGCCAGGATTCAAATGTAGCCTAACTGAATTCTAAGACTTGAGCATTTAATTGCATATATTGTAGTATAGATGCTACAATATCTGAAATTTATTTGTAAAAATTTATGTCGGATAGTGTTATATCTCAGATTTGTTTCCATTGCCCAGACTCTTAAGCCTTCTAATGAGGAATGAAGTGACAAGGAAGGTCAGAGGGTATTCTAATCAAGTAGCTGCATGCCAGAGACAGGCATTTTAAGCAGCTACCTCATCTACAATTTTATCAACAACCGATACTTTATGGATTGGTTAAATGAATGCTAGAAGTGGTAAGAACTGTGGCAATTCTATACCGCAGAACGTTAGAAATGGCCTTTCATCAGTGAAACCAAAGATAGTCAAAATAATTGATTTTACAGACACTTCCTGCCCTGGCTTAAACAATTATAAAAATCCGTGTACTGAGAATGCCCTGGGTGAAATTGTGAATGGGTCTGTTTATTGCTGAGAACTACGAAAGATTTGGTTGCTTGATAGAGACTAGGTAGGTAGCAGAATTCTGCCTCTGGAATTATGAATTTGAAACAATGTCTCTGGTATGCTGATAAACAAAGCATTCAAATGAATGCAGACCTGGGTTTCCTGGATTTGAAGAGTAGATGATAGAACCGATTTGCTTATTTGGTAAATATATAAGGTAATGAAGACTTAGTTAATAAAATGTCCATAAGTACAGCCAACATTGTTCAGAGATGTGCTTCCATTATAACCTGGTAGAGTTTTCTACTAATAAATTACTCCAAGTGTTGTCTTGGTGAAGTTGATACAGGCCAGTTTGCTTCAGAGGTAGAGCCAGAATTCCAAAACAGACGGATGAAATTTTGATCACCTGAGTTTTTAACATTTGCAGAGAGAAGTTTGAAATCCTGGTTGGACTCCAAGCTGGGGAGGTGTTGAGGGTATCTGAAGATGTACTATTATTCCAGAGCAAATTGGCAGAGTGAAGATCCTGTGGTGTGTGTGTGTGAGAGAGAGACAGAGAGAGATAGAGACAGAGAGAGAGAGAGAGAGAGGGCAAGAGAGAAATGTTATGGTTCATCTGATATTGAAAACCATTAACCAGGAAGAAGAAAATGCATATTTTTGGATTCAAAAAATAGAAGACACAACCAATAAAACGCTTGACTCCAAGAAAAAGGAACTATGCCTGGAGCAGAGTCAGCTTCCACAATGTGCAAACCGCAGCATACTCCCAAATGAGGGCTGCCTTCAGACTCCTCAGATGCTGCCACCAACCTCATCCAGCAGTTCCTCAACCAAGGTACCAGATTCCTGTTTTCAGTATTTTCCCTCCCGACAACATAATGACAGCGTTCTCTAGAACCATAAAGGAACTTCACACTAATCCCCTACGACATACAATTCTTTATTAATTAGATCACACATATTGTTATTGAGTGTGTATTTTGAGATCCTACCTACATTCAAATTCGGACTCTTATTATGCTGCCCTTTGTATTAGGATATTCTATGACCTAGTGTGCACATAAATCATTCCTCTTCAGTCATGGGTATAACTAGTAATTTGTTTGTTTAATTTTATTTCTGTGTTTCTCTCAATACATCATGAGTGAGAGAGCTTAGGGCGCAATAAGTTGGAGAAATACAGAAACAAACAAAGCACTATCACCAATTCTTTCTCTTTTTTTAAATTATGGAAGTAATATCATCTAAGAAATTTAGGAAATGCAGATACATAGACAAAAATAATTAATTTTAACTATCTGAAATCTCCCTTCTATCAAATGCCATATTTTGGTAAACAGTCTTTCTGATTTTACCTTTTGTTATGTATATACAAAGAATATCAATTTGTCCCAGGTTGATCACATTACACATATTTTTCTATAATTCAGGTTTTTACTTTCACCTGCTATATCTTGAAGTGCTACTTAATTCAAGAAGTATAGATTTAAATTATTATTTTAACGTAAGAGAATAACTGCATTTTTTAATTTTTATAAATTTAAAAATAATCCTTTACTATTTGACTTTAGGCTATTTTCAGTATTCCCTATACACACAATGAACATAATAAGAACATGTGTCCATCAGGTCTTCTTTCATGACCCTGAGTATAGATACATAATTTCTTCCTTAGGTCCTGTGCACTTCTTGTCAAGGTGCTGCTGTTGTTACTAGTATGAGATTTGTTGTTACTGATTAACTTGGCCTGGGAATGAGCATCAGATGTAGGGAGAATTGGCCACAGTGATGAGAAATCAGAGTTAAGCCCCATGACCCCCAGGCTGTGGCCTGTATAACGGTACAAGTCAGACCACGTGGAGCACTGCTGGTCTGTGGAGGCAGCTGGCCTGTCTCCATGAACTGGTCCCTAGAACTCCCATGGCCCCCCCTTGCCTTCACACTTCTTCTTACAGATCAGTAACCTCCCCTCCAATTCAAACTGCTCTCCTGAAACTCAGAAATGGTGCAGGCACTGGGTAGACAGGGGGGCATAGAAAAGTCCCCTGACACCTGACTTCTCCTTTGGCATTCTTCTCCTAAGGGTCCTGCCATTATTCTAACAGGGGTGTGTAGAGGAGGAAAAGCAATTTCCCCTCTACCGTTCTGAGTTCTTGGCTGAGACCCCTGTATTAAAGCAAAGATTGTCAAGAAAAAACTAGCAGAAGTTTATTAACAGGTATACCTCATCTATACATAGAAGAGACCCAAGAAGAATGAGTAACTCCCTGAGGTGGCCTAAGCCCCCAGCTTAACTACCATCTTTAGTGAAGACAGAAGAAAGAAAAGTGTGGGGAGGCCAGTTTTGTGGAGGTTACCAGGAAAAGCAGGAAAAACGAGGGTGATGTTTGTTATGCAAATTTAAGTCAGTTTCTCCTCTGGTGATAGTATTCTCTTGAGATTTAGAGTCCTCCTTCTCTTCCTAGTACACAGGGGGAGACACCCTTAGAAATGGAGATTTAATTTATAAATGCACATTTCCCTTACAAAAGGGCAACTTTCTTTCTGGTTTTAGAGCTTCCTCTATGTATGTTGTTTCTCAAAATAATCAGCTTAAGATAATCCTGTGCCTAAGAAACATATTTTGGGGTGGCTGATTCTCCGACTCTTCAAAACATCCTTTATCCAGGACATTTCCAAATTCAGAAAGTTCATGGGATTTTTTTCCAGTGACTGTCTACTAACCCTTTTTCAACATAACACTGCTTTCCTGAAAAGAGACTTTCTAATTTGGGTCTTTAAATTGCCACATCTACTGGGATGAGATCAATGGATTCTGACTGGAGCCATTCCCTACTCTCAGTGCTGTCAAGGGCAATTTATGTTCATCCAAATTTGTATCTTATCTTGCACACTGAAATGAGTTGATGGGATAATTTAAGTTGATTTCTTCATCCTCATCTCTACTAGAAATCACTACACAGCAGCATTGCTATTGCCCACTGCCTCTGTACTCTACATAGCTCTTTCTGGGAGAAATAGTTCTTCCCTTGAGTTAATACCTTTTAAAGAAAAGTATTCTTCCTACCACACTCATAAAACAATGAAAAAGAAGAAAATTCACTGTTTAAATCATCTCCATACATTCCATTAGATTATATATACCATGTCAGTGATCTTTGTCTAGGTTTTTTTTTTTTTTCCCAACTCCACCTAATTATGTTCTTAATATGTTAATTATGTTCTTAATTATGTTCTTTGTTGAGGTCAACATTTAGCCGTAGATGATTCTCATTAGAGAGTGAATCCTGTTCTTAATTGTGCCTGTTTTTGGTGTATACTTCTATGTAGAAACCAAGATTGAAGGCTGCACCTAAAGAAGCTTCCAGAGAGGAGGGCTTCCAGAGGGGGCCCAAAGAAGTGATGGTGCTGAAAGCAACGGAACCATTTACATATGATGTCAGAGAAGGCGAGAGGAAGATGTTTCATGCCACAGTGGCTACTGAGAGCCAGTTCTTCCAAGTGAAGGTTTATCATGTTGACCTGAAGGAGAAGTTCATCCCAAAGAAAATCATTGCCATATCAGATTATTTTGGCCGCAATGGGTTCCTGGAGGTGTTCAATGCCTCATCTGTGTCTGATGTTAACCCTGACCGAAAGATGGAGATCTCTAAAAGCCTGATTCAAAAGGCAAATGCAACTCCTAAAATCAGTCATCTTTACTCACAAGCTCTAGGAACATTTGTGAATGGGGTGTTTCTGGTGCATAAGGTAAGCCCACACCATTGTTTTGCAATATTTCTTCTGCAACCCCGGAACGTAAAAGTCTTAGCTGCCAAATGAATTTGGTTAACTTCATAAACACAGGAACTCAAAGCCCCCCTGACCAGGGATAGCTGGGTGCCGTCTTCCCACTTCAGAATATAACATAGACAATCTCTTAACATTCTTCTTCCCAAGGTAACAGCATGCAAGTCCTCCAGAAATCATGGGATTTTAACAGCTGTGCTAATCCATTCATAGCCACCCTGAGCCAGTAAAGGGCAGAGTTTATATCTGTATATATATATATAGATACATACAAATCTATATCCATCTATATATGTTTATATATATAGATATAGAGAGAGAGGTGGGGGGTGAAGAGAGAGAGCTCTCCTTCTGGTTTTGTTTCTTTGAGTTCTGCCTCCTGTTTCAGTGACAGCTTAATTTAATTGTGAATAAAGAATTGCCCTTCCAAGCTAGGATTTCAACTACGACAACCAGAGTCAGAAATCAATAGACTACTTTGCCCTAGAATCAGCTCTTATCCACAGTTAGCTAAGATTCTGATCATCTGACCTCTAAAGTTCTCTCAGTTCTTCGCATTCATTCATCAAAAAATTGTTGAGCAAAAAACCTTGGCATTAACTAATAAGAGAAATATGGATGTTGAAAACGCTAGAAAAATCAAGTTGTTTCATTCCACAATATATTAATATGGGCAATAAAATGCAGAATTTTGCTGAATTCTTAGAATTAGGGTAGGTATTTCAGTCCCAACACATCATAGAAATACTAAGGTTAGCTGACCTAACCGTTATATGAAGTATTGTTTCATAATCCATTATATATGTCTTCTAGGGTGGCTGTTTACCTATCCCCCTGTTGTTTTCCATACACTCTGTTTAAGTGACTGTGCACACATGTGCATTTGTAGAATTAATAAGTAAGTGATATAGAAATTAGAACAATGGAAGTAGATGATCTAGATTCAAGATTGGGCAGATTAAGGAAGAATGAATAAATAGAGAAGATAGAGGAAAGAATTACTTATTGAAATAATAATCTGCTTAAGGAGGACTTGCAACCATCTTTTTGAGACTCATAGTAAGACATGAATGGCCTTTGTTCTCAGGGAGATCCAAAGAAACCTGTGAAGTTTATCAGACCACACTATATCCAAGTTTCTTAAGAAATCTCAGCTATTCTGAGATGGGAGCAAGAAAAATTAGGAAAGTAATCCAGTTTTCTAGAAGAACCCAGCACACAAAGACTTAAAGGAAGGAAAGACAGAAAGAGAATTTAAATGGGGGGATAAACTGAACAAGACATCTTACACTATTTGGTACCTGTAATTCTGGACCTCCAGCTCATATTAACTGGTCTGAGACAACAGTTTCCACTAACACCCTATGTTTTTCAAAGTTGTGGAAATTCCTTATCCAGCTCTCAGAAGATGGATGCTAATTTTCTTTTGCAGAAATTGGTATGTAATCAATGCATATATTACGAAATACTAGATAATACAGGAGTGATGGAAGTCCTGGTTTATGGAGAACGACTGACCAGAATCAGCTGTGAGAAAGGCGATAGACTTAAACTCATCTGCTTTGAATTGGCATTAAGTGGGGATAAGAGGCAGCTGAGATCCATAATTCACAGTTTCATCAAGGTGAGATTTTCTGGGGGGTCATTATTGTTCCAAAGTAGAAGCCTTTAAGAAAACTAGACTGCTGTTACTACGGAGAGTTCAGCAGGTGGAACGAGAACTAATTTTTGCCATTTAGTGGGTGTAAAGTTTCTTTTCATTATTCTTTTTTTTAATGATATTTTTAAATTTAATTTTTTTGTATTGAAGTATAGTTAATTTACAGTGTTTTCTTAGTTTCAAGTGTACAGCAAATGGGATCAGTTACACACACACACACACACACACACACACACATATATATTCATTTTCAGATTCTTTTCCCTTATAGGTTATTACAAGATACTGAGTATAGTTCTCTGTGCTATACAGTAGGTCCTCAGTTACCTATTTTATAGATAATAATGTGCATATGTTAATCCCAAACTCCTAATTTACTTCCACTTCTCCCACTGCTATCCTCTTTGGTAACCATAAGTTTGCTTTCTATGTCTGTCAATCTATTCCTGCTTTGTAAATAAGTTCATTTGTATCATTTTTTTAGATTCCACATATAAATAATAACATATGATAGTTGTCTTTCTCTGACTACTTCACTTAGTATGATAATCTCTAGGTCCATCCATGTTGCTGCTAATGGCATTATTTCATTCTTTTTATGGCTGAGTAGTATTCCATTGTATATATGTACCACATCTTCTTTATCCATTCATTTGTCGATGGACATTTAGGTTGGTTCCGTGTACTGGTTATTGTAAGTAGTGCTGCAATGAACATTGTGGTACATGTCTCTTTTTGAATTATGATTTTCTCAGGGCATATGCCCAGTAGTGGGATTGCTGGGTCATGTGGTAACTCTATTTTTAGCTTTTTAAGGAACCTCCATACTGTTCTCCATAGTGGCTGCACCAATTTACATTCCCAACAACAGTGTAAGGAAGGTTTCTTTTTCTCCACACCCTCTCCAGCATTTGTTACTTGTAACTATTTTTTTCTTTACATTATCTCATTTAATCCACATAGTATCTTTTTCTTAATATATTTTTATTGGAGTATAATTGCTTTACAATACTGTGTTAGTTTCTATTGTATACCATAGTGAATCAGTCATATGCATATATGTCCTTCCCTCTTGAGCCTCCCTCCCATCCACCCTATCCCACCCCTCTAGGTCATCATCCTCTTTTCCATAGTGGTTGTATCAATTTACATTCTCACCAACAGTGCAGCAGGTTTCCTTTTCCCCACACCCTTTCCAGCATTTATTGTTTCTAGATTTTTTGATAATGGCCATTCTGACCGGCGTGAGGTGATACCTCATTGTAGTTTTGATTTGCATTTCTCTAATAATTAGTGATGTTGAGCATCTTTTCATGTGCCTCTTGACCATCTGTATGTCTTACTTGGTGAAATGTCAATTTAGGTATTGCACCCAATTTTTAATTAGATTGTTGTTGTTTTTTTTGATATTGAGCTCCATGAACTGTTTGCATATTTTGGAGATTAATCCTTTGTCTGTTGTTTCACTTGCAAATATTTTCTCCCATTCTGAGGGTTGTCTTTTTGACTTGTTTATGGTTTCCTTTGCTGTGCAAAAGCTTTTAAGTTTAATTAAGTCCCATTTGTTTATTTTTGTTTTTTTTCTATTACGCTAGGAGGTGGGACAAAAAAGATCTTGCTGTGGTTTATGTCAAAGAGTGTTTTTCCTATATTTTCCTCTAAGAGTTTTATAGTGTCTGGTCTTACATTTATGTCTTTAATCCATTTGGAGTTTATTTTTGTGTATGGTGTTAGGTAGTTGCTCTAATTTCATTCTTTTACATGTAGTTGTCCAGTTTTCCCAGCACCACTTATTGAAGAGGTTGTCTTTTCTCCATTGTATGTTCTTGTTTCCTTTGTTGTAAATTAGGTGACCGTATGTGTGTGAGTTTATCTCTGGGCATTCTATCCTGTACCATTGATCTGTATTTCTGTTTTTGTGCCAGTACCATACTGTCTTGATTACTGTAGCTTTGTGATATAGTTTGAATTTGGGGAGCCTGATTTCTCCAACCCCATTTTTCTTTCTCAAGATTGCTTTGGCAACTCAGGGTCTTTTGTGTTCCTTACAACTTGTAAAACGTTTTGTTCTAATTCTGTGAAGAATGCCATTGGTAGTTTGATAGGGATTGCATTGAATCTGTAGATTGCTTTTGATTCTTCCAGTCCAAGGACATGGTGTATTTCTCCATCTGTTTATGTCATCTCTGATTTCTTTCATCAGTGTTTTATAGTTTTCTGAGTACAAGTCTTTCACCTCTTTAGGCAGGTTTATTCCTAGATACTTTATTCTTTCTGTTGCAATTGTAAATGGGAGTGTTTCCTTAATTTCTCTTTCTGATTTTTCATTGTTGGTGTATAGGAATGCCAGAGATTTCTGTGCATTAATTTTGTATCCTGCAACCTTACCAAATTCATTGATTAGTTCTATTAGTTTTCTGGTGGCATCTTTAGGATTTTCTATGTATAGTATCATGTCATCTGCAAACAGTGACAGTTTTACTTCTTCTTTTCCAATTTGTATTCTTTTTCTTTCTTTTTCTTCTCTGATTGCCATGGCTAGGACTTCCAAAAATATGTTGAATAAGAGTGGCAAGAGTGGACATCCTTGTCTAGTTCCTGATCTTAGTGGAAATGCTTTCAGTTTTTCGCCATTGAATATGATGCTTGCTGTGGGTTTGTCATATATGGCCTTTATTATGTTGAGGTAGGTTCTATCTATACCCATTTTCTGGAGGGTTTTTATCATAAATAGGTGTTGAGTTTTGTCAAAAGCTTTTTCTGCATCTATTGAGATGTTCATATGGATTTTATTCCTTAATTTGTTAATGTGGTGTATCACATTGATTGATTTGCATATATTAAAGAACCCTTACATCGCTGGGATGAATCCCACTTTACTGTGGTGTATGATCTGTTTAATGTGTTGTTGTATTCTGTTTTCTAGTATTTTGTTCAGGATTTTTGCATCTATGTTCATCAGAGATATTGGTCTATAATTTTCTTTTTTGGGGATTTTTTTTCTGGTTTTGGTATCAGGGTGATGGTGGCTTTCTAAATGAATTTGGGAGTGTTTCTCCCTCTGCAATTTTTAGAAGAGTTTGAGAAGGGTCAGTGTCAGCTCTTCTCTAAATGTGTGATAGAATTCGCCTGTGAAACCATCTGGTCCTGGACTTTTGTTTTTTTGAAGATTTTTAATTACGGTTTCAATTTCATTACTTGTGATAGGTCTGTTTATGTTTTCTAATTCTTCCTGGTTCAGTCTTGGAAAATTGTACCTTTCTAAGAATTTGTCCATTTCTTCATGGCTGTCCATTATATTGGCATAAAGGTGTTGGTAGTAGTCTCTTATATTCCTTTGTATTTCTGCAGTGTCAGTTGTGATTTCTCCTTTTTCATTTCTAATTTTATTGATTTGCATACTCTCCCTTTTTTTTCTTGATGAGTCTGGCTAAGGGTTTATCAATTTTGTCTATCTTCTCAAAGAACCAAGTTTTAGTTTTATTGATCCTTGCTATTGTTTTCTTCATTTCTATTTCATTTATTTCTGCTCTGATCTTTATGATTTCTTTCCTTCTACCAACTTTGGGTTTTCTTTGTTCTTTCTCTAGTTGTTTTAAGTGTACAGTTAGATTGTGTATTTGAGATTTTTCTTGTTTCTTGAGGTGATATTGAATTGCTATAAACTTCCCTCTTAGAACTGCTTTTGCTGCATCAAAAGCTTTTGTCAAAAGCTTTTTCTGCATCTATTGAGATGTTCATATGGTTTTTATTCCTATAGGTTTTGGGTTGATGTGTTTTCATTGTCATTTGTTTCTATGTACTTTTTTATTGCTTCTTTGATTTCTTCAGTGGTCTCTTGGTTATTTAGTAGTGCACTGTTTAGCCTCCATGTATTTGTGTTTTTTCAGTATTTTTTCCTGTAATTGATTTCCAATCTCATAGTGTTGTGGTCAGAAAAGATGCTTGATATGATTTCAATTTTCTTAAATTTTCTGAGGCTTGATTTGTGTCCAAAGATGTGATGTATCCTGGAGAATGTTTCGTGTGCACTTGAGAAGAAAGTGTATTCTGCCACTTTTGGGTGGAATGGTCTATAAATATCAATTAAATCTATCGGGTCTATTGTGTCATTTAAAGCTTGTGTTTCCTTATATATTTTCTGTTTGGATAATATGTCCATTGGTGTAAGTGTGGTGTTAAAGTCCCCTACTATTATTGTGTTACTGTCGATTTCTTCTTTCATGGTTGTTAGCATTTGCCTTATATATTGAGGTGCTCCTATGTTGGGTGCATAAACATTTATAATTGTTATATCTTCTTCTTGGATTGATCTTTTGATCATTATGTAGTGTCCTTCCTTATCTCATGTAACAGTCTTTATTTTAAAGTCTATTTTATCTGATATGAGTATTGCTACTCTAGCTTTCTTTTGATTTCCATTTTCATGGAATATCTTTTTCCATCCCTTCACTTTCAGTCTGTATGTGTCCCTAGTCTTAAGTGGGTCTCTTGAAGACAGCATATATATGCGTCGTATTTCTGTATCCATTCAGCCAGTCTGTGCCTTTTGGTTGGGGAATTTAATACATTTACATTGAAAGTTATTATTGATATGTATGCTCCTATTACCACTTTTTAAATTGTTTTGGCTTTGTTTTTGTGGGTCTTTTTCTTCTCTTGTTTTTCCCACCTAGAGAAGTTTCTTTAGCATTTGTTGTAAAGCTGGTTTGGTGGTGCTGAATTCTCTTAGCTTTTGCTTGTCTGGAAAGCTTTTGATTTCTTGTTAAATCTGAATGAGATCTTTGCTGGGGAGAGTAACATTGGTTGTAGGTTTTTCTCTTTCATCACTTTAAGTATATCCTGCCACTCCCTTCAGGCCAGCAGAGTTTCTGCTGAAAAATCTGTGTATGGGGATTCCTTTGTATATTATCTTTGCTTTTCCCTTGCTGCTTTTAATATATTTTCTTTGAATTGAATTTTTG